TTTCTCCATTCTTCTCTGCACAATACTTATCATCCATCTAGCCAAACACTTCTTACACGATTAAAAATTCATCTGAACGAGAGTTTTTGCATAGAAGATACAGTACCATATCTAATTGGTGGTGTTAGATACAAATCTGATATGTGATGATAGTTTTTGAGCTAATTTCTTAAATACAATCTCTACATCATCATGAAATTGTCATATTGTGAAGTATATCAAGTTCTTTTTGCTCTTTTACTTTGAAGCTAATGAATTGAATATGAACAATATTAGATTTTTATATAGGAATTTTGGTCTGTAAAAAAAAGCGCCTATGAACTTTGATTAACAATACTTTTACTCTATCAAAGCATATCCTATATCTAAATAAATTTATGAATGTAGATAGTAGTCTAATGATTAATGAGTTCTACAAAATGGCAATCTTAAACTACCTCTTTAAAGAATCGCTCAAGAATCATCAACAGATTTAATATCAGATTCGTACTCAAGTTCATCGATTATCTATTGGACATAAAACTATGTTTTTTATGCAAAAAACTCTTGATCAGTTGGCGACCTTCCCTTGTTAATTCTAAAAATTTCTTACATGACCATACACACGAATCATACCAGTCTGTTAGCAAATGATCATCACTCGTATAATCATAAAACTATTATTTAGCTAAAAAATGTGAAGCATTACACAATGAATGTAAAGAAAAAGAGAAGGAAATGAATGATTTAAATCATAATATTGAAGAAAAATTACATGTTGCCAAAAGTTTAGAAGAAGAAATAAAAAATTTCAAACAAGATAAAAAAACGATTGTACAGGTAAATATTTCATATAAAATATGAAAAAATAAAAGAAAAAAATGAGATCCTAAATTCGTAATGGTCGTGGTTTTAAAGTTGGCTCAGTTAATAACTCATCATCTCCATTATCCTGTTGTTACGATCTCCATTTCTATAGTTTACACATCTAAAGTTATCCAACTATTGTTCATTGCTGTGCGCAGAACCAAGGTTTGCCAACTGTTTTTCCCATTCTAATTGAAAACGTTGTACAGAATAGAGAAATAAAAGTAACAGTAAAAAAGTAGTTTTGTTACATCTAAAAGACGTAAAATTTCATCCGATATCTGACCGTTCTCAAATTCATTTTTTCAACTGTTATTGATTTATCGAAAATTAATGATGACATGAAGGTTTTTTCTTTTGTTTTCTAAAGGAAGTTGCTGATATGAAAGAAAAAATTGAAAAGAAAAAAGCAGATATCAGTGCTGAACAAAATAGTTCAATACAATCACGATCACGATCAATGGATTTTGAACTAGAAAATGAAGAAATAAGACAGCGAATAAAAGCTGGTAAACATCATTATACAGATGTATAAGATAAAACTTGTTTTAAAAATATTATTCAACTATTGTAGGTGAAGAAGAATTACTACGATTAAATATTGATATTGATGCTAGAAATCGTACATTAAATGAACTTAATACAATGGTTATGTTTGCTAAAAACATCATGAAAGTATGTTTCCAATACAAACTGATTCTACATTGTATAGGACAGAAGTATTCAAAGATGCAAATTTATTGTCCACAGCCCTGTAGAATGTGACAACTCCTTTTCCATCTCTACAAAAAAGTTTCTCTCAACTAATGTATTAATACTCGATCAGACCACTGTAATTGACAAGAACTCTTAGATATTAGACAGGTTCTCCTACATATTTACTTTGTTTAATCTTCTTTTTTTATGGATAAGAATACAAGCGAGAAGAGATCGCATTAGATCATTCTAATGTTGTACTCGACCTGTCCACGTAACGCGTGATTCCGTCACGATTTTTGTTGTTTTGCGATTCTCTTGGCGTTCGAACAAAAGGAAACTAAGGAATTGTTTACATCTAGTCTTATAGAGAAAAGTGAGCTGAACAAATGTCATATTTTTCGTTTTCGCAGAATATCATGGTCGTCAAATACAACAAAATTTTTACGAGCCCCAATCTAAAGTCTGTCAAAACGGGGCTCGTAAAACTGTTGTTATATTTGAGAATCACAACATTCTGCGGAAACAGAAAATATGACATTTTGTTCAGCTCACTTTTCTCTAGAAGACTAGATGTAAACGGTCCTCGAGTTTCCTTTTGTTCGAGCGCCAAGAGGCTCGCAAAACAACAAAAATCGTGACGGAATCACGAAAAGGCGACCGTTACATGCACAGGCCGTACTGTCAAAAAATACAAAATAATTTTTTCGCATAGGCAGAAGTTCTGCAGTAAACCGTAAAGATAATCTAATCCACAATTTACTGTTTGTCACTGAAACTATACAAGCTCAATCTTACTTACGCTAATTCAATTTTCAATTTTCATTCAAAATTTACGCGATTCAAATTTCTTCTTAAAGATACAAACATACATTCTTTCAAGTGTTTTAAATTCATGCTTAGATGTGATATCATGAAAACCTTTTTTTCATCGCAGACATCGTTCTTCACACTAAGATTATTTTTACGAGCATTTTGTTCGATAATCTTCAGAATAAAATACTCATCCTAGTTATATTCGTGTGCAGAGGTGCACAATCTATCCGTAAGTTTGAAAATTTTCCACCAACGGTAAAAGTTTTGGAAAATTTCCACATTTTGAAAATTAGAAAAGGCTTTTATGAGTTTATTTCTTATTATTCGGAAATTTCTTAAATCTTCCTATGTGGAAAAATTCCATATTTTTTTCGTGAGAAAATTTTTCAAAAATTTCCACAGCTTCCAAAACTTTTTTTTTTTGTAGGACCATACGCACATACGGATAGATTCGATCGCGATTGGGAATTTTTTCTATATAGCCAAAAATTTACAAATTTGTCTGAAAATCGTTAGGCTCTTCTTTTTTTTCTGTGAGAAAATAGTACGTAAGTAAGATCGTCTTAGTAATTCCACTTCAAATTGCTTATTTTACGTCGAGATCACAGCCAGATAACCGTACATTGTTGGCGTGAAATGAGGCGAGAATGCAGTTAGAGTGGTAAGTAATAAGCGCTCATTCATTTGCTCGTTCTAATACTTCCATAAACGTATTACACTCGTAGTGAGTTCTTGTGTGAATGTATGTGTTCTTCTTCTTACAGAATATTCAACCAAATGACAACAAAGTGAATTATCAATCAATCCCACATGATTATAATATGATCGATAAACAGTAGGTTCGATTATCTAATCTTATCTTTACAGCATGTTTCTACATCTCTATGGATAATAATGATTTCTGTTTTAGACAAGAAATGCAATCAGTTAATTATGAGAATAAAATACAACGATTGAATAAAATAATTGATGAAAAAGATGATGAAATTCGAATCTTAAATATGGATTTAATTAGGTAAGAAAATTTCAACATAGATTTTTATAATCTGAAGTAGAATTCTTACTTGCCAAATTGTGTAGCTATCTAAAGAACTGTATTCAACTTCTGATTGAACAGTAAGCCATTTTTGGTTAGCTAGGCCGATGATAAGTTTTTCAAAGAATACTAGTGTCGTTAAATATCTCATATTTTATTCTACTTTTACAGAACAAAAGATGAATTATTTCAATTAGAAAATAAACAAAAATTTCAAGAAACAAATTTTAATTCAATAAAAATATCAATGCAAAATGAAATGGATAAATTAAAACATTGGTTAGAAATATACGAAAATCGAAAATCAGCAATGAAACCACATTATAAAGAAGCATTAAATGAATTAGAATTAAAATTACATGAACAAGAAATGTTTTATCGAAAACAAATAAAAGATATTGATTTAGAAATGAAACGTAAACATTATCATTCATCTTTTAATCCAGATGATTCTGGGTAAATTTTATACACTATTCAATTCTTATCTTAAAACAGTATTATTGTATTATTCTACTTTGTTTGATTTTAGATTTCTTACTGATACAACAACAAGATCAGGAGATTATCATTATTTAAGATCATCGACGCCTCCAACATCATCTGATTATTTTAATTCAAATAATCAATTACGTGATCAGATACAAACAATATTTCGTCAACATGTTGATGAATTAGATAAATGTAATATTAAATATAAAACGAGTTTATCAAATCTTAAAAATCGTTTACATGAACTAGAAAATACCACCACCAATGTTGAACCTGTTTTCAATACAACAACTTATTGAAGGAACATACGACAATTTAAAAATAAAAATAAAAAAATTTTTTTTTATCTTCAGATGCTACTTTAATCAACTGACATATTTTAGCCACATGTGCAATAGTAGCACTTAATTATATTTATGTTCTTTCTCTGGTTTACGAGTGTATTATACTACACCATCAGCGAAAGAAACTGTGACTCTGTGAAGAAGAAAAAAAGGTCTTATGATGATTTTTTTTTCTCAATTTTTTTCAGTGAATTTCTCCATCTATCATTTTTGTTTATAGATATTTCTCACCTCATTTTGATCAGGTTTTTTTTATACAATATATAGGTTTTTTACATTTTTACAATTTTTAACTGTTTTTATAACATTTTTCTCGTCTTTTTTATACTGAATTCGTAATAATAGATTATTTCTCGCACTCAACAATATTGCATTCATATCATAATTGCAAAAGATTAACTTCATACTTGTTAGATCGCCAATCAACAGCAGAACCATCATCTGTCTGATTTTTGTATGAACTGTGATTGATTAGCAGCTTCCTATAAGAGCTTCAACCACATAGTCGATTCCCATTTGAATATATCACATCAGAGCTTCGTATGGTATTAGTCTTAGAGATCGTCTGCGTTTTTCGGGTAACTGTTAACCTCTTGAATGCTATTATTTTTCCTCTTACGCGTCCAAAGGCATGCATATGTAAAAAACCGATTAAATATCTCTCTTTGCGTTCTGTTATTTTCGTGACATGCGTTCCTCTGGCACTTTTTTTTCGTTAAATTGATATAACGAAAAAGCATATGTAGCATATAAAATTTCCTTCATGTCATCTATAGATACCTTACGGCATTCAAGAGGTTAATGGAAAATTGAAAAGTCTACAAGGCTCTATTTTGGGTCCCTAGTTGTTTTTGTTATTTATAAATGACTTACCGATGATAACTTCATTTCTGTCACTATGTGTTCTGTTTTCTGATGATACTTTCCTTTGCACGGTATCACAGTGTCAGCTGTTTATGAATCAAATCGAAGAATTGTGCTCGTCAAATCTTATGTCATTAGATCATTCAAAATGCTGCGGAATCTATTCTACAAATCGAGACCCTTCAGTTACTGACCACATAGTTATTTTTAAATGGTAATTTCATAAGACGTGCGACATCTAGCGTTCTCCCTGGTATTAAGCCCTAGTCGAGACTCCTGATTAATCTCCCGCAGGATCCTCAGGAGTCCTGGAAAAAAAGTCCTACAGGAGTCAGCAGGAGTCCTGTCACGGGGCCCCGGCAGGATCCTCTGTGGAGTCATGAAGGATTTTTAAGGGATTCAAGAGGGATTCCTCAAGACTCCCACAGGAGTTCTATGGGATTCTTAAGGAAATCCCTGGAGAGTTCTCGGGGATTTTCAAGAGAGTCCTTGGGGACTCCCTGGGGGTCTATTGATCCATCTTCTTAATTTCATGTAACTAATTAGTAATTAAGTGCCAGATACTATCACTGGTACCGCTGGAGCACATATCACCCATCGAAGGTTGACACATTAATGTTGACTTACTAGA